ATATATGCAGTTGGATATAAGAGTCTAAAGATAGAGTGAGGATCAGACTATAAACGTGGCAAATTTAAATATTGGGTTGTCAGAAAAATGATGCATTTTTGCATAGAAAAATACATCATGATTTTTCCGACAACCCAATAGATAATTTGAGAAGACTCGAAGCATAATAAAAAGCAGCAACAACAAAAAACTATATTCTTCAACCTAGAGATCAAATATGCACTTATTATTTCCTGTTAAATATAAAAGTCAATTGGGACTAGCAGGTAGCGTGGTGTTTATGGTGCTGGACACTCCCACATGGCCGACTACAGTTCGAGTCCTGGACCTGGTGGCTTGCTTTCTCACCTTCTCTCTCTCTTTGTCTCTCTCTCTGGTCAAATTAAAAATAAATGAATGAATAAATAAAGTTAAATAAATAGTTCTTTAAAAGAAAAAACAATGATAATCTAGACCTGTAATTTTTTTTTGGGGGGGGGAAGGTTTTTGCTATAGGGCGCGTGCGCTCACCAGACAGAGAGACAGAAAGTGAGAAACACCCCCCAGGGGGGATAGCCACGCCGCAATCCCTTCTCCTCCATTCTCCTCTCGGGATCTTGGGCACGCACGCACATGCGCCCGGCGTGAATTTAAGCCACCGGGTCCGGGACTCGAACAACGGTCAACTACGTGGGAGTCCAGCGACATAGCCATTACGCTAACTGCTGGTCCCTAGACCTGTAATTTTATTACTTCACCTCAAAAACCTAATAGCTTCTGCAGTGTAATCTGACCCAGCATTCAGGTAATATAAGAAAGGATGAAGATTCATCTGATCATGGAAACGACTCAAATGTCTATTAGAAGACAGAGATAAATTGTGGCCTTTTCAAATGCTACTCTGGGGACCAGCAGATGGCGTAACGGTTACATCGCTGGACTCCCATGTAGTCAACCGCAATTCAAGTCCTGGACCCAGTGGCTTGTGCATATGTGCCCAAAATCCTGAGAGGAGAATGGAGAAGGGACTGCAGCATGGCCATTCCTCCTGGTAGGTGATTTCTTGCTTTCTGTCTCTTTGTCTTTCTGGTGAAGCCCTATAGCAAAAATCTCTCTTCAAAAAAATGTTGAACTCTTATGCAGCAATAAAATTGGGAACAAGCAGTTAGCGTAATGGCTATGTCGCTGGACTCCCACGTAGTCGACCTCGGTTCGTGTCCTGGACCCGGTGGCTTAAAACTCAAGCCGGGCGCGTGTGCGTGCGTGCCCAAGATCCCGAGAGGAGAATGGAGGAGAAGGGATTGCGGTGTGACCATCCCCCCGGGGGGTGATTTCTCACTTTCTGTCTCTATGTCTCTCTCTGTCTGTCTGGCGAGCGCACGTGCCCTACAGTGAAAAAAATCTCTCAAAAAAAAAAAATGTTGAACTCTTATGCAGCAATAAAATTTAGGGAACCATAGCTTTATTTAACATGGATGAATTTTAGAAAAATGCTGAGTTAAGGCTGGCAGGTGGCATGGTGGTTAAGGGTGCTAGACTCCCACATGGCCAACTGTGGTTCGAGTACTGGATCTGGTGGCTTGCTTTCTCACTCCTCCTCACCCCTGTATACCTCTTTGGTCAAATTAAAAAATAAAAATAAATAAATGTTATATAAAATAATTTTTTAAAAAAGAAAAATGCTGAGTTAAAAAAATATAAGAAACAAGGGACCAGCAGTTAGCGTAATGGCTATGTCACTAGACTCCCACGTAGTTGACTGCGGTTCACGTCCCAGACCCAGTGGCTTAAAACTCACGCTGGGTGTGTGTGTGTGCGTGCCCAAGATCCCGAGAGGAGAATGGAGGAGAAGGGATTGCGGTGTGACCATCCCCCCGGGGGGTGATTTCTCGCTTTCTGTCTTTCTGCCTCTCTCATCTGCCTGGCGAGCGCACGTGCCCTATAGCAAAAAACCTCTACAAAAGAAAAAGAAACAAGAAATAGATAATTATTTGTTGATGATAACATGCATGGTAATATCCTTAATTGAGCCACTATACAATATATATTGGATGGAAAATCTCATTTTGTATACTGTACTGATGTACAGTGAATGACTAAATAAATAAATAAAATAAAAGTCCAAAGACTAAGGCTTACACCCTTTTTACAAGGTTCAAAAATAATCAGTATTAAACATTAAGTTGCTTATGAATACTTATATATCTGGTAAGATATGTTCAAGAGCAAGGGAATGATTAACACAAAATTTAGTATAGTGTGGGGCCAGCAGGTGGTGTTAAGGCAATGGACTCCCCCAGGGCTGGCCATTGTTCAAGTCCTGAATCTGGCAGCTTGCTTTCTCACTTTATCTTTCTCTCTCTGCTGAGTGCGCATGCCCCGTCACAAATTAAAAAAATAATAATAATGGGACCAGAAGGTGGCGTGGTGGTTAAAGCACTGGACACTCCCACATGGCTGACCAGGGTTTGAGTACTAAACCTGGTGGCTTGCTTTCTCACTTTCCCTCTATTTCTCTCTGGTCAAAGTAAAATAAATGAATGAATAAATAAAAATTGAATAATTAAATAACTTTAATAATAATAATAACAATAAGACCAGCAGATGGCGTAGTGTTTATGTCGCTGGACTCCCACATGACCAATCACAGCTTGAGTCCAAGAGCAGTGGCTTGAAACTCACATTGCGCACGTGTGCATGTGTGCACAAGATCCTGGGAGGAGAATGAGACTGTGGTGTGGCCATCCCACGTGGGGGGTGATTTCTCACTTTCCCTCTCACTGTGTCTGACTGTCTTTCTCTTCCCCCAACAAACAAATGCACCCTAAAACTAAAACCTCAGCGACAACAACAAAAAAATGATAATGATAAAATTAAATAATTCTTTAAAAAATTTTTTAGTATAGCGGTTATCTGAAAAGGAAATTAGAGAGTAGCATGTAAATGGCATCAACAGTATTGATAATGTTCAATTTCTTTCTTTTTTAATTTGACAGAAGGTACATGTACTCTCTAGATACAGAGAAAATAGAAAGTACTCCCATGGAGAATGGTCATGCCACAATCCCTTCTCCTCTTTTTCTCCCCCTTCTCAGGATTTTGGGCATGGATGCACATGTGACTCAATCATGTACAATAGCTGGCCTTCAAGGATCCAGCTGCCTTAACCAGTGTCTCACTGGCTGGCCCAGATAATGTCCTATTTCTTCAGGTAAGTGATAGGTTAACTTTGTGCTTTATACTTCACATATATATTATACACATATTTCTATATGTAGCAATTATTATTATTATTTTCTTGTCTTAAAGAGAGATTTTTGCTATAGGGCTTGTGGACTCTCTGGAAAGACACAGAGACAGAAAGCAAGAAATCACCCTCCAGGAGGGTATGGCCACACTGCAATCCCTTCTCCTCTTGGGATTTTGAGCAGGCACGGACATACGACCTTCATGAGTTTTAGGTCACTGGGTCCAGGACTTAAACCACAGTCAACTACGTGGGAGTTTAGTGATGCAATTATTACACCATCTGCTGGCCCCCATCTCATGTAATTAAAAAAAAATCATCTAACATTAAGAGGAGCCTGTCATATGCCAAAGACACTCTTCAGTCCTTAAGCATGACATTTTCCTATTATGACAGCATCCTAATTTTCTGAAATCTTACTAATAACAAAGGTATTTACAATAAGGGATATGCTGTTGTCATTGGTGCCATCTTCCCATCAACTTTCTCAAACAGTATACTCTGGCTAATGCCACATCACAACATAACAGACCTTGTTAAGCAACAATGACTTAACACAACTAATAGACCTTGTTAGCAACAATCACTTAAAGTATATATGGGACTTCAAAAAATCTGTGGAAAATGTAACTAAAGTAAAAATTTATTTGGTGCAATTGAAAAAAAAAATTTGCCATAGGTACATGTGCTTGCCTGAGAGAGACAGAGAGGGGTAAAGTAAGAAACTAATCCCCTCCATGGGGGTGATAGCCACATTGAAATCCTTGCTCCTCCATTTTCCTCTCAGGATTGTGGTGCATATGTACACATGCCAGGTATGATTTTCAAGCTACCTAGTTCAGGACTCAAACCATGGTCGGCCATGTGGGAATCCAGCGCCTTAACCACCACGCTACCTGCTGATCCCAGTGCAAATTTTTTTATAAATTGATGGATAGTTTTCTAGAAATACACTTTTTTTTTTTTTTGGAGAGGTTTTTGCTATAGGGTGAGTGTGATCGCCAGAAAGAGACAGACAGAGAGACAGAAAGTGAGAAATCACCCTCCCAAGGGGGATGGCCACGCCACAATCCCGTCTCCTCCATTCTCCTCTCAGAATCTTGGGCACGCACACACATAGACCTGGCATGAGTTTAAGCCACCGGGTCCAGGACTTGAACTGTGGTCAACTACATGGGAGTTCAGCGACATAGCCATTATGCTAACTGCTGGTCCCCCAAAATACACATTTTCAATCACATATGTCTGCATAAAAAACAGGCCCTGGCCTTCAGAGATGAAATGGAAAAGATGATGTACAAGGTACATAGATGGAAAAAAGAGTACAGTAGGACAACGTCAAGAACATTGGAAAAGGACTCACAGAAATATAAGGAAAGCAATAGAATACCTTAACACTAACCACATATTAACAAAAAAGTAGCTCAAAGTAAGAAAAATCATGGGGCAAGTAGGTGGCGTGGTGGTTAAGGCACTGGACACTCCCACATGGCTGACCATGGTTTGAGTCCCAGACCTGGTGGCTTGATTTCTCACTTTCCCTCTCTGTGTGTCTCTCTCCAGTCAAATTAAAATAAATGAATGAATAAATAAAACTGAATAAAGAAAAATAAGAAAAATCAAATATGCAGGGTCTTGTAAAATGATAAATTCTAAAATCTATAATATGCTCATGCAATTTCAAGAGAAAATATTTACTAGAAAGATTCCCAGCAATATATTTTAAAATATACTGAGGCTGTACCAAATTTTATAAACTAGAGACTATACTTACAAAGTCATCTCCTGAGTCAGCTCCCATAGAGGCAACGGATTCCTTGCTCACTGACCGTGGAATCCTAGTAGCACCTCCTGGCCTCTGAGCTACAGCAGTTTCTTCTGCAATTTTCTTCTTTAGTTTTGCAAACATTTTTGCTGTGTGGCTATCCTACAAGGATGACCAGTAGTCCCTAGGCCAGTGACCGGGATTTGGACACAGGTGCCTAGAAAGTTTCAGACATCCAAGTCAGCTGCATTCCCACTTAAATGGAGGCCACGGCCTGCTGGCAACACAGATCTATAAATCATATAAGAGAGACAGCTCTAAGTTAAACAGTAGTGTGATTTCATATCGGAGTTGCTGCCTTAAGCTTCAGGTTTCAAATTAAGTTTCATAACTTACATGTAAACTTAACAGGACATAAGTATTAAGCATTTGAAGAGCACACAGGGAATTCATTAAGTATATACAAATGAGGAAATCCTGTCTCAAGGAGGTCAAGTAACCTGCCAAAGATCAAGTGACTAAGTGGCAAGGCAGGTATCTGAACACAGAACTCTGACTCACAAGCTCCAACAATTCCTTTCTTCTTCTTTTTTTTTTTTAAACACCATGGCTCTGACATATGATGTATAGTAAAATTTCCCAGAGAAAATATTAATATCACATAATCATGAATTAATGCTTTTGAATCTTTCCCCCCAGTAAGTTTAGTTAGTAATTTCTATTTTTAAAAAGTTGAAAGCAAGACAAATACAACTCAATATGGGGAAAAGGTATAATGTTGCAATGTTCTAAGAGGATTTGCAATCAGCTGTACCTGAGAAAAAGCTGATATCCTAGAAAAGCAGAAAAGCTAGAAAACTATACTATATATAATTATGCTATATAGGTACTGAATAGCTTTTCTTGGAAATACTGTGTGGTTTTCTTCAAGCTTGATAAAATCTCATCAAATCACAATTTCTTTTCTGTAGATACCTAATGTGATGACCAGTGGTGTGTGGCTAATATTCTCATTCTTATCTCAACTTTCCACGTTCTGTAAAAGACATCTAAGCTCTGCTCTAAAATCTACAAATGACTTATCACTTCGGATCATCCAGTAAGTCTGTAAAATTCTTCAAAACCTTTACCTTTTTACCTTCACTGTCTACAAACCACTTACTCACCTGGCTTATCTACTAGATTTACAGCCTGGAGGTCAAAGCATTCTGTCCTGCATGAAGAGAAAGATAAAATGCATTGGATATTTCCTATCAGGTACAAGGTCAAAATGTCTGGCACCGGTAGGAGAAGTGGAAGAAGAGGAAGGTAAGACTAAGCGGGGAAGACAGACTGACATCACCACAACTGTAAGTGGGCTACCTTCCCTCACCCTAGTCGCCTATGGTTTTGTGATTTGCCTAAGAGCTTCATGTACAGGCACAGAGACGACAACCACTCACTGCAGGAGATGAATACGAACCTTCGGCAAAACAGTTTGGACGAGATTAAGGTTTCCCAGGTTCGGTATTTATTTCTCAGTTGATTCTGACATTTACACACTGTTTACCTGGCCAGCCCCTAGGCTGTCAGTCAAGGAGCCTTCTTTCTCACTAAGACACCTGAGAAAAAAGCACGGCAAGTCGCTAAAAGACAGACTCCTGACGTCCGGGGAGGCAGGCAGACGGCAGTTTGAATCCCACGCCCTCAGCTCTCTGCAGCCCCTCCCGCGCTCGGACTGTCAAAAACGGGAGGGATCCAACCTCACTCCCTCCTGACAGCAGGGAACGAAGCCGCAGGGGGACAGTGACTTGTCCAAGGTCGCGTGGGGCGCAACCCCGGAAGCCCAGGTTCCAGGCTCCCTAGCCGGGGCAGCCCACCGTCGCCCCCCCCTTGCCTTTCAGCACCCCGGTACCGCCCCTCGCTCAGGGTCTTGGGAAAACTCCCGCGGGCCGCGGTGGGGACAGACCGAAGTCGCCGGGAGAATGAGGGACCTGCCCACGGCCCCCGGGCCCCAGCCCCGCGCACCTGCCGCTCTCGGGGCAGCCGGCAGAGCCCCGCCTCCGGGGCCTCTCGCGAGCGCCGGCCCGCGG